TGAGTTTATTCTCCATCTCCAGGTTTATTTCTTCGGAGATCAGCCATCCAGAAAGCTGATTTAACGAAATATTGGTATTGTTCATGCGAATGTTTTGCTTAAAGGATGAGTATTCGGTGGGAAGACCACGAATAACAGCATTCACCACATCACGTTCAGGGATCTCTTCTTTCAAGGCATCGAGATCCGAGAGAATAGTTGCCACATCATCAAGGTATTGTGTCATAGTTTTGGTACCTTTATGAAGAGTGTGGAGTTTGTCCCGAAGCTGATAAACATGAGCGGTGGACACGGAGTTGTACCGTGCGGCCAAAGCATCCCAGAGGGCAGCAGATGTGGTGAAGCCGCGAGCATGTTTGTGAACGGAGGGGCTGATGACCGCTAGGAGGCAGACGCGGATCTGTGTGTCAACGATGGTCCAGGAGGTATACTCTGGATTAGGGACGGTTTTATCATTTTTGGAGATAGTTGGCGCCGGGGCTGCTTCATGACCATCAATCCATCCAAGGAGGAGATTAGCTGAAAGAGCTGTCTGGACATTGAGAGACCAAGCCAGATAATTTGTTTCGGTGAGTTTTTCTGGGATTAAGTTGTGGAGACTCCGAAGCAAAAGTTTTACTCCGGAGGGTAAGGACGCCAAAGGATCCGACGGGGCTGCCATGGTGGGCGGCGGTCGGAAAAAAAGAGAGGCTAGGTTTTTGAGAGCCTTAGCTCCGATACCATGATACAATTTGATAATAACTTATCTTATTGAATATTGAGAGATATGACCCTATATATAGGGAATACAAGAGTAATCAAAGTACAAGTAGGAAAGGAAAGAATGATCCTAGTAGGAAAGAAAAGAAGTATCCTAATTTAATTATACTTCCTAATAGTGTAGTTTGTTTTACTTACTACATGTACGCAACATGACTGGTGAATATGAAGCCAACCCTAGAGGGCTACGAGAATGAGAAGATGTGTGGATGCAAAGCTGATGGGTTGATTTACTTAATATTTTAGTTTGAATTTGTTATGCTTTTGGGCAAAAACCCGAGATTGTGTTTAATTTGAGTACTTAAGCTTTCTATCGTTTTATTAAATGTTTATATTATTTTAAAAATTATTGTATATTATTAGGAAGTATAATTAAATTAGGATACTTCTTTCCTTTCCTACTAGGATTATTCTTTCCTTTCCTACTTGTACTTTGATTACTCTTGTATTTCCTATATATAGGGCCATATTTCTCAATATTCAATAAGACAAGTTATTATCAAATTGTATCATGGTATCGGAGCTAAGGCTCTCAAAAACCTAGCCTCTCTTTTTTTTTTCCAACCGCCGCCTACCATGGCAGCTCCGTCGGATCCTTTGGCGTCCTTACCCTCCGGAGTAAAACTTTTCCTTCGGAGTCTCCACAACTTAATCCCAGAAAAACTCACCGAAACAAATTATCCGGCATGGTCTCTCAATGTTCAGACAGCTCTTTCAGCTAATCTCCTCCTTGGATGGATTGATGGTCATGAAGCAGCCCCGGCGCCAACTATCTCCAAAAACGATAAAACCGTCCCTAATCCAGAGTATACCTCCTGGACCATCGTTGACACACAGATCCGCGCCTGCCTCCTAGCGGTCATCAGCCCCTCCGTTCACAAACATGCTCGCGGCTTCACCACATCTGCTGCCCTCTGGGATGCTTTGGCCGCACGGTACAACTCCGTGTCCACCGCTCATGTTTATCAGCTTCGGGACAAACTCCACACTCTTCGTAAAGGTACCAAAACTATGACACAATACCTTGATGATGTGGCAACTATTCTCTCGGATCTCGATGCCTTGAAAGAAGAGATCCCTGAACGTGATGTGGTGAATGCTGTTATTCGTGGTCTTCCCACCGAATACTCATCCTTTAAGCAAAACATTCGCATGAACAATACCAATATTTCGTTAAATCAGCTTTCTGGATGGCTGATCTCCGAAGAAATAAACCTGGAGATGGAGAATAAACTCAACCTCACCGAGTCTACCATCACCGAACCTCAAATTGTATCATATATAGATGCCAATTTTGTAGTAACCGAGTTTGCTAATTCACGTTTTTGGGTTAAACATGTTGAGATGTTACAAATAAAGTGTATTATTTATATTATAAATGGAAGAAAAAATAAGAATGTGTGTGAATTACCAAAATAGCAACATGAGAAAAAAAAAGACAAACTAGGATAATTTATAAGTTATAGAGTAATAATAATAATAGTGATAATATTAGAAAAAATTAGAAAAAACGGGAAAGAA